ACTGTTTAAAAATGGTTTCTGCCATGAAGATGAAAATGAGAGCTTATGTGATAACTGCGCTTCATAGAACTCGCATGAAGGTATAGTTTTGATATTTGGAAAGACTAGCCTTTCACGCAGTATAGTGTTTGGATGGATTTACAAATTCAACTCTGCTGCAAATAACTAAAGAGATGTTATAAGGAAATTTTGAAGAAAGAAACACTGACAGATTTCCCGTAAATACGACCCTCGTATAGTATTTTATTTGTCTTCAACTAATTGTTTTTCTTCATAAAAGAAAAAAAAATTGTTTTCAGGCTTCTTAAAAGATTTTTTTCTGTTTTGTTTTATCTTACCTCTTTCTTTTTTTAAAAATTGATATTAAAAAGTATAATTATAACCGTTACTATATTTTATGCAAGATGAAGAACATGTATGCACTCTCCGGTGTCGGGGGGCAAAAGAGAACTAAAATTACATATATAATTTCGTCGATATTGAAGGATAATCGAGAAAAAATAATGGTTAGAGTACATTTACATATACTTATAAGTATTATAATTCCAACATTATCAATTTACAAAAAGTCCTTCCCACTGCAATAAAAGAAGCAATTTATAAATCTCTGCATTAAAAAGAGTTCATAGAACATCACTCCAAATTGAAAAAAAAAAGTTTTACATATAAACAAATAAACCAGTTCCTTTAAACTTTTAACCAATACGTGACACTATAATTTGGAGGGGAAAAAATCAACCTTTTCATTAAAAGAACACATTTAACATCGACCCTGCTCTAATGCTTTTAATTTAAACCAAAATTTAATCTGCAATACATTACTTTCTCTTAAAAATGGATTTTTTTACTACTGAAAAATTACTAAAAGCCATTAATCTGTTACTAGTATAATTTCAGACAAGATCTCAAGCGAAACGAGATAAGGAGTATATGTATATTAAAATGTTTATATAAGGACATTAACATAAATACATAAGATTGTAATATCAAAATTTGCGAGAAACAACTTACTCGTTAAGCATTTGATGAAATTTTGAGTTTTCAATTTCTAAAAAGTTCACTAGGAATGTTATAATGCTTTCATTTATACAAGATACTTAGACTGCTCTATTTTAAGTCTTGGAATTCCCAGAAATCTTTTACATGTTTTAAGAAACAAGCAGTGAAATAGAAAAAAATATCAAGGGCTCACTTGCATGCAATTTCTGAATGAAAAACTATGAGATTCGTGCAGATTAGTCGCCCGCGTGGCGCAGTGGTTAGAGCGTCTGCTCTAGTGTCGCGGAGTAAGTAGCTGATCCTTACGTCGCAGGTTCAAATCCACTGCGGGACGTGGAGACCGGTCCTTTGGATGAGACCGTATAAACCGAGGTCCCGTGTCGCAGTAGGTGTTGGCACGAAAAAGATCCCTCACTGCTCAATGGTCCTGAGTCAGGCTGAGTGTCGAGCATAGGTATAAATTTGCCTCCCTCCACCGGCAAGTGGTGGCGTCTCCATATTAGAGGGACGTTAAACAACATCAAACAAACAAACAAAAAAAACAATCGTGCAGATTATCATCATCATTTAACATTAGTTGTAGCATTCATCATTCTCTGATCATCATTACATCATCATCAACGTTATCATCGTCATCATCATTGTTGTCGTCACATAATCAATTTCAAAATGCTCATCATTACATCATAATCATCGTTATCATGAATCGCCTTTTAGCATTTTACTTCATTCTTATCATCATCATAATCTTCACTATAATCATTCGCCTTCACTTCGTATGTAAACTATAGACGATCATGACACATAGACAACAGTGGTAGATTTAATAAAAGTGGCCAAAATTTCCCCCCTTTTCCATCAACAATACTGAAGAAATTATTATTTTTGAAAAAAATTTAGAATGCATTGCTGTAATTGTTAAGATACGTACACCACAACAAACCACCACAATAGGTGCTTCCTAGATTGTCAACTTTGCCCCCCACCCCCCCCCCCCAAACCCAGCTTAATTGGTGGATCCAAACCTAAAGAACACAAAACTTTATCAACACCAGTTTTTTAAATAACGAAAATGTAATGATAAATGATGGCATGGATCCTCCATTTTGCAATAATTGCACGAATATTCATTTATTTTGCTACTTACATATTTCATAACTTATGTCGTTTACTAATTATTGAATTAGAAATTCATATGAGTACACGACAATTTAATTTGTCATGTAATCATTTTCAACTTTAGATTGAAAATTAATAAAAGACACTTATATACATATATATAGTAAATCTAACATTTTTTTAGTTTGACTTTCGTTGCAGTATATCTCGAAGACGGAAAAAAAGATTTGTAATACTTGAGTGAATAACACTACCAATGTCTTTAAACTTTGAAAATCAGTGGCTGTAAATATTTACTGCAGTGAACCCCCAAAACTGTCCCTTCCCTTAACCCCCACTCCACTGTATTTGAACATCGTCAGTCCCATTTTCGTCCCCTTTACCTTTGATATGTCCAGCCACTGAATCATTCAAAAATATTGGAGGAAGATATTTAATTCCTTAATGTGTATAATAGGTGTAAAAAGCTCGATTTCCTGACCGCACGTACATTGTCAGTTTTTATTAGAGTAGGGCGTTCTATACCTCATGTGGAGTGCGAGTTTTCACGGATTCACGCCTTTTCATCGAACGAGGCGTATCCCGGTATTGTCTGACTAAATCCCCACGTACTTCTAGCTTTTTACGGTATACTGTCTAAAAAAAGAAAAATCGATTAGGAAGCTAGTGAATAACTGTAAAAAAAAAATTAAATCCATGAAATTTAAATTTCCCCAATACAGAGAAAAAAGATAAACGGTTGTTTTATAACTGTTCAGGTATTTCGCAGAATCGTTAAAGAAAATCTCTCTCTCTCTCTCTCTCTCTCTCTCTCTCTCTCTCTCTCAACTGCCGGTTATAATACATTTCTTTTGGTGTTGTGTTTTTTGCTTGTTTTTTCAATTTTTTTTTCTTTCTATCTTACTTATTTTTGCTGCTTTATCAGATTACACCATTTGTTTTCTTTGGTAATTTGTAGCAATAAATACCCAAAAATAAAACCAGGTATGAGTTCTATTTATATACCACATCATGCCAAAGTAATCCTCTGTGTGAAATTTTCATTTTCTTAAATCTAGTACATGATATAACATCTATAATTTCTTCAAGGCCAAACAGTTTTATACACATAAGCATAATACTTGTTATGGACAATTTTCATTCAATATCAATAAAGTATATGATACATAAGCAACCAAAATTTCATAGACGTATTTTAACAGTGAAAATGCATACGCTCTTTGATCATAGATTTTAAGGCATAAGCATTAAAATGATAACTTCCATACTAGGCATTTTTATGAATGTATTTTTTATATTTGAACTTATATTTTAATATTAATAATCTGAGAAATTCTTCAAAATACTGAAAACACGAAATATAACCAAACAACATTTAATTACTATAAATTCTACTAATGATTTTATGAAGCAAGGGCCATATAATTTGTGGGAAAAGGCAAACATGTATAGAAAACCACGCACTGGAAAAAAGGATCAAGCAACTATGAAATATTACTGCAGTTAAAATCGGAATAATGCACAATATTTTCGTTAAGCTTTGCATTCAGTAGTACAATATTCTTTTAAGAAATTCATAAGCTATGAAATAGGATTTGAAAGAATTTCGTGAGAGAAAATCTCAAAATGATCTAAATGGGAATTAACTTTTGAACACAGAAAGCATAAATATTATATAAGCAAATTCTTTTTATTTGCTTATTTATGTCAACAATGAAAGACGTGACATTATCTTTAAGTGTTTAACACAGAAAGTGTAAATTCGCAACAAATCATTACAATATTTTCGATCAAGAAATTCGTTTTTTGTGGGTGGGGGTAGGTTTCCAGGCTGCATTAAGCACATTTGTTTTTTTGTTTTTGTTTTTGTTGAATTGTTAAAATTTTATTTCAAATTCATGTACACAATATATGTATACAATATATGTATAATATATGTATATCATGAAATACGTGTACATCAAACATAAACCTCAAATTCTCTCACATCTTATACACGCAACTCTGCTTAAGTACATTCGAGTCCAGCAAAACCTTTGTAAAACATAAAAAGCAAGAAAGAGAATAGGTATATTTATTTGCAACTTCAAAAAAGTGTTTTTCTTTGATATGCAAAAACATGCAAAATCGTCTCCATGAAAAATTGTTTTTTTAACATTGAGTGCATTCTTGCGGGTTTCGACATGAAAAAAAACTTGCAGAAATTAGCACCGAAAGGGAATTTGAATTCAATACACCTTTGGACAGAAAAATAGGTCGAAGACGCTTCACAATCTTTAACCGCAATCAATGTAAGATTTTGCTTGTCATGACTCGTGAAAGGTTTTTAAAAATATGTAGTTTTTGAAAATCAAATATTTCAACAGTTCTTAGTGACAAATCAATATTTGTGTATGATTTTAATAGACTGGTTACGCCTTTTATCCGCTTGGGAAAAAATAGTACATTCCATTTAAAAGATTCGCCCCAACAACACAAGTAGTACGCTTTTAAAATTTTTGACGGACAATCTCTTCAAACTTTGTTTGATCAAGGCTTACTTAAATTTCAAAATGTAAATAGATCAAAATAGTCTTCGACATGGCTGAATTTATCTTAATCAATATGCGAAAAGGGCGGTCCATGGTAACAAACTCTTCTCTATCGACCAATAGAAGGCGTTTACCCGTTACCAAGTGGGCGGAGCTTAGCGTATTGTTTCTAAAGAGTTGATGGACGTGTGTAAGTGCGAGAACCGCTGTGTACGGTTGACTGATTCCCGGATTGTGTGTACCCACGTGGGATTTATCTATTACAAGGTACATAACGGTTGTTTTGTATTGCTGCACGAAATCTACCTTGACTGGGCATTTTAAACGACCGGATCGACATTTTACCGTTATTTGTAAGGTTGGCACGCACCCATTCACAGGGATATTTTATTAAGAGAATTTTAACATTCATGAAATGGATTAAAATGCAAGTATTATGCAGACTATAGTAATTTTTTGCAAAGAATGCAAGATGAAGTTCCATTTCAAAGGTAATTATAATTTTACCAAAAATATATAATTTAAAGTGTTTACTTGTTATCTTACAATTTGTTTTTGCACTTGTACACAATTGTCATGAATTGATAGCCAATTTCTTGAAATTCAGAAAGTCTTAAACTGGAGAATATTAGAAAAAGGCTATACTCATCAATTTAATTAAATTCCTTTTGTAATAATTGATTAGTAGTTGTAATGCAATATTATCAATCAATGCAGCTATTTAATGTTTTTCATATATGAGTGACAATATTGCTGTATTTCTGTAATATAAATATTACGATATGCATTTAAAAAAAATACTTTGAATATTTTTGTTTTGTGCTTAAATACACATCCAGAATATCTGGTGTTTATCGCATAAGGTCTGCACCAGCTTGTGCAATGCTTTATGCAGAAGCATACCGTACCAGGCATCGTGCGCGCGACTTCTTCATTTATATATGTGCATACAGATGTTCGTCTAAATAAGATCTTAAATAAGATTCAGGGACAAGATAATAAAATGATATTCCCGTTATGTACGAGAATCTCGCCGAGTCACGTTACAAGACAAGTAATAAATAAATTATATTTTTTTCTTTCAAAAAAATTCCTGAATAATAATTATGCACCTGCCGTCTAACACGCGCAATAGATATCATATATCATATACCAGATGTAGCTAATACACATAAAAAACGGTTAATAGACCCTCTATGTCGTGTGCTTCGCCGATCGTATAACTGAATACGTACCCGTTTTCGGCGTCGGATGAAAAACCGGGCAATTATCAAACTCCCTGAGATGGCATTATCAATCTTAAACAGATAATGTTATTTAAATATTTGAAATGCAAACTGAATTTCAAAAACCGTGGGGTTGGGTACATTTCAATCTTATCTTTGGTCCCCGTTCTTATATATCGAATTACATTCTTTAAATATGTTATCTTATCGCTGCCTATACGAATATGTAAATGCTATCTAAAAACCCATTTCGTGTCTCAAGCTTTTAAATCAATATTCAAATTCGAACCCCCGTTATTTTCTTATCATTCGTCAGGGGGCTATGTTATCTGTATACCTGTGCCCTCGTGGTGCGCGGGTGCGATTTGCTTGCATATTGATTTGGTAACATAAAAACAATATCAAAGTCAACTGTAAATAAAACTGTGCTTAAAGTGAAGTGCACCCTGTCCCAATTGTTTTGCAAAGCCAAAAATAAAGAAATCCTAAACCGTATCGTTTTTCAAATCAGTTTTCGAATTCAATGTATTTCCATTTTTTAAATGTCCCGAAGAAAATCTTTTAAAGAAAAATGTAGCTTTCATTTTTTTTTCTTTTAGCGTAATAGGTTTCAACAAGTTGATTTGATTCACTCAAGGACATAATAGCGCATAATTACTTATAGAGCATCGATAGCAGTTCCTTGATAAATGACGCAGTGATTTAAAAGACTTTCTTCAATGGGTTTTAATTGATGAATCCGATTACTTTTAGCCCCCTGATTTTTTAACACGTAGCAATACGTAATTCCTTTGAAAACCTCGTTTGAACTTGTTTTCAATGCAATCTGTAATTCCTTGCGGCGAATTTTAAATCGTCTATTAAACATTTTTATTAATCATCTATTAACCATTTCTTCCCCCTAAAAACCCTCTGAAATAAATTGCATGGGTTTAAATAAAACTATTCCCATCATACAACCGAAACTAATCAGAGAAAAAATATTAAAAGGTAAAAGATTGAATTTCCAGACGCTAAGCAAATGAAAGACATTAATTTTCTCCATTTCTCCAGTCGAACGTAATAAATTTGTGCTATGATTGAATTACAGCATGTAGAGGCAGAGTAATAAATGTTTATAAAGTCTATTGATATTCAGCGACATCTCATTACAATGTATACCAAATAAACGCGACTATATCGCCCTGACTCGTCCTTGCAGACTTGGACAATTCAAGTCCCAAGCGCCGGACCCACCCGGACAATAACTCATCATCAGCGTTAAGCACCCTGGAGTATAATTTGATGACATTCCATAATGTTAGTAAACACACTCGAGACCTTGTCCTTATCATCCTAGGCTCTTGAGATTGTCTCCACTAGATGGGGCTAGAGGTCATAAATCACAGTTTTCTCACACTGTATTATCTATTGCTTCTCCGAGATCTACTTAACTCTGAAGGGTTCTACCTTTTATTATGAAGTCGGCACCAGTCTTCACCGAGGTCCGGACAACGCTTGACATGGATTGCATGCTCAGCAAAATCTCATTTTAATCGCCAGTAAATCAAGGTTCAACGTCACAACAACGCATTAATAAACAGTAAAACACAATTTATTTCCCGTATTAGGATCAGCGTCTAGAATTAATAATGGGATTTAAAATCATAATTTTTGTCCTGCTTAAATACGTTGTTTTATGTGTACACTAGGACTCGGAAAACCCAAAACTGATAAGTTGAGATGACTTTTTATCAACGTTCTTTGGAATTATGACACAATATGAACATTGATCTTCAGTCATTCATAAAGAAATAGCGAATGAACTACATTGCGGAGGAATGTAAATTTGAACTCTGATCTAGAATCGCCGGGAGTGTTACGCCGATTAAATTCATAGTTATAGATATTGTAGAAAATATGACATTCTGCCATAAACATTCTGGGGGTAAGGATGATCTAGCTCTTTAACTCTAAATTCGTTTTTTCCCCTAAGTTTTGAAACCTTTAACTTTTCTGCAAGTCATTTTGAGAAAAAGGGTCGAATTTGATGACGTCAACGGATTCTCCAAGAACGCCATCTACAAGCAAGAAAGTACTTTTAATGGAACATAAAGAAACACACCTCGGCATTGGCTTTCATTCCAAAATAGCGGCGCGTCGTGAAAATTGAAATGAAATTCTTTCAAACCATCATCATCTTTTCATTGATATGCTTATCACAAAAGGAAATCAATTACAGCACTTTTTTATTCCATATCTATACTTTTTTGAAACTAGGATCAGGTGCGTCAGGGAGGACCATTTAAATGGCTTTTATTGTGTTGTTAAAAGAAAAAAAAACCTTATAACGAGATACAATACACCAGGAATCATTGAACCTTTTTTCAATTTACATTCGTCTTTATACACATCTTTTTATGATGGTTAACGGTATATTTCCGTTAAATAACCCGTCCTTTATGAACGAATTTTTTTCATCCATGTTAATGCTACGATTGCCGATTCTCATGGTTACATAAAGCGCTAACGTGACTAATTCAAATGTAAAAAGAAATATTTACCTAAATACCACTTAATATCCATAAATTTGAAGTATAAGACGTAGATATTTTTATGTTTATAAATGGCAAAATTTATTTCGACATTGAATTACAAGGCAGAAATGAACATTTTAATTTTCTCTCGATCGTGAGAAAGTATTTGGTAATCTGATTGGAGTAATCATTTTCAATAAAGCGTTTACCTAACCATGCATTAACATTTGTAGTAATGTGGTCAATTTACGATAATTTTTCTCTTACAATCTGTACTTAGCGTAGTAAAATTCTATAAGGAATTGTAAAAAATAAAAATTATAAATCAAAGCTGTACATAGGTGTAGAGATCAAACGATAAGGCGCGAGGCATAACAAGTTTTATGTACAGTTGATCAAATGAAAGATCGTAAACCGCTTCTTTCACATAATGCATTAAGTTGAAATGTATCGTTTTAGGTAATGTGTCAAAATTATTTACTTTTTGCCTACAAAAGAAGTAAAAACATGTAGAGCTAGAGGGAGTGACTCAGGAGTTCATTATTTAATTAGTTTATGATCTCAGTTAATAAACCCTCGTATACACAGACCGGAGGCTTCTTTTCACGATAAGCCTTTTGTCTTTCCAAACTCCATACAAAAATATCGAATTTTAATCCGATTTTGACACAATTTAAAATTGGGATAAGTGTACGCTTATCCATTGTCTGTCATTGTAACGGATCGTCATTCATTGTTATTTATTGTTAACCATTCGGGTAATCTTTTGATTCATCGATAAAACATCTGATCTATAATACCCAAACCATAGAACCCTTAAGGATCAGATATCAGCCCTCCATGGATGAAATGATTAATTTTCAAGATGGCAGGCCAATTTGAAAATCCACATTTTTAGCTGTCTCCAAATAATTAGGTAGAAATATTTACATATTTCTCTACGGCATTGATAGAGCATGTGGAAAATGGATAAATTTCTCAGTCGCTACAATATAAGGCAGATTGGGACAACATATCGACTTTCGATACCTTGCATTTGAAGTCCATATTAAACAAAACGTCCTTAATGGTCCAAAAGACCTGGTCCATTGTTAGGTTAAGGATCACCTAAATGTTTGTCAATACGTGTGTAAATAATAGAATAATTAGCAAACCTGTCAACGCAGATTTTCACCTATGATGACATTTTGCTTATACTAAAGGGGACATTAAAGAATACAATGAAACCATTAACCGAATTTGTTACTAAATATCGAAAGCCATCAACATTGCTATTGATGTGCAACACATTAGAGAGCTTTCACTTAACCAGGACAATGGGTTACCTTATAAAACGTCATTTAATTCAGCCGGGTGGGGTTAGATCGAGGGGAACCAATAATTGTTTTTTATCTAAAAATAGAACCAAGGTACGGAGACATGCAATATAAAATTCAACCTGGACGGCGATATGTAAAATTCTGGGGGGAATATAATCTGCGTTCGTTGACTTAATAATCCGACTTATATTGAAATGATCAAAATTCAGCTTCTTTTCACTCCCACTCGAATTGTAATTTCAAATCATTTAAGCTTGGCCGGAATCGCTGAATAGCGTTTCATAATATGCTCTCGTAACATACAGACTTTCTCACGATTTCACATTTCTTGTTCTTTCAGTTTGACAGTTAGCATTAAGGAAGCACTATATATGTAACCCCAAAAATGGAAGCGAAGCAATCTTATTCAGACATTTCCTCACTCCTAATGGACCATCTCCAAAAACTCCGGCAGGTTTCCGGCAGAAGTCGGGAAGATTCCGAAGTTGAGCGATGTTTTCCGGAAATCAGATCGCCATTCAAATCAACAGATGGGAATCTGTTTAAATTCCCTCGGGACTATAGAGAAAATATGGAGACAAATATCAGAAACTATATACCATCTCCGAAAAGTAGCAAAACTTCATGTGCACTTTATGGAGAAAATTCAGACTGGATGATGGCAGAGAAGACAAAGTCTCGAACACCTCCTGCATCACCTGCAACACCATCTAGCTCTAACAGTGCCTTCAGATACTCTCCATCAGTGACGAAACAACATAGAATAGAAAATAAAGTGGCGGATCGAGGTCCGAATGTGGCGGGAGACGACGAAATAGTTTACTGTGTTCCTAGAACTATAGTCACGGACCTCAAATCCCAGAAAGACTGTTCCACTGTAGAACAAACTCCCACAAAGCAAAACTACGGATCTGAAGTCATCTCACCTTTTCGGAGATCCTCGCCTAGTCCCAGTCATTCGGAAGATTTGTTTCGCGGTCGTCAGTCAGACACTGTTGATAATGGAACATTTGAAGAAAGGCAGTCAGAACGTGTTCGGAAACAACTCAACTTTGATGCATGCTCTTTGAGCAAGAAATCAGGTCAGTTGATTTGAATTAAGAAGTGGTGTTATTTTCCCATTGCTTGTAATATCATTCTTCTTTAAAACAGAAGTTAATGTTCAAAACATAACATTTTCATATGACTTTTTACAGGAACTATAGATGACCTTTACTACTCGTCAGAGAGGTCCCGAAGTCCTTGTAAACGAAGGGAAGTAAATGAGGATGAGTATGAGGATCACACGACCTCTCGTCTTGTCCTTCAACTTCTGTCTCAAATCAAAGGTCAAGGGCGGAAGCGGAAGGCCTCTGACTGCTGCAGCTGTGACTGCGACTCGGAGAGTGATAGGGATAGTTTCAAAAGACAGCGAAATGGTAAATTCTATGATTAACTCATCCTAAAACACTATACTAAAGGAATTTTAATGACCACATATAATTGCTACGGGTGTGTTGCATGTTTATTAAACGTACACATATTTTTTCCCAGATTATTTTTCTAACCAGTTCCGATCAGAAAATGAATTTAACTGGAGACGATTTACAGAACAACAGGAAGTACTCCCGGACAACTGCACATGCGCACTCATGGAAAAAGAATTCCTAAAGATGGCTGAACATGCCTACAAGAATATTAGACGTCAAGACGGAAGTTCAGAAAGTTTTGTTCGCTTTCAAAAGGAACTTTCAGAAACCAACACCATCATCAACGAGTCGTTATCAGTGCTAAAAAATATGAAGAACATATGTGAACACCGCCATATTAATAAATATTGATTTTCTTTTTCGAGAGTTCACAAGATTTGACGCCGTCCAACTGGTGTGTGGTCTCAAAACCTTCGTAATATTGTATATAGTTTATTGTTTTTTTTTAAAACTACAATGTAACGTGTTCAATCAACCTTTGCAAGCCAAAGTGTTCGACAAATTTTACAATCTGAGCTATATAATTGTGTTCATAGTTTTATATAGATTATTTATTGATGCTACCAACACTGCCCGTGTATATTTTTATATGATTTTTTTTTAATCATGCGTAAATTGTATATACATTTTTGTACTTTACAGTGAACATTTTTTCATCGCATATCTCCTTTCATTGAGAATACCCACCTTGTAAATATGTTTTTGTAACAAGTCTATCTTTTTTAAAAAAAAATGTTTGCCTGCCCTCTTCCGACTCACAAAAAAAAAATGGGTAGGTAGATAGGAGGAATTTAAAAAAAAAATGCTAATATAAAAAAAAATTAAGATACAGCTGTAATTGTTGACGGGAATAGAAAAATGTCGGAATGGAAAATAAAGAAATCGTTTCATGGAGCTATAAAGAAATGTTTTGGGTGGGGCCATTTTTTCAGTCAGTCGGGAGAGGGCAAGCAAACATTTTTTTTAAGGATGGACCAATCGGTTTTTGTTATGTAGTATTTTTTTTTTCAAACATCGTGTTTGAAGTAATGGTGTTTAAATTACATTCTTGAAACATTCCAAGATGCAGATGTCCATTTTCGTCAATTTGACCTATGATCACGCTTTCTTTGTTTTCATCGCATTCTATTTGCTGCGGTCCTGATATTAGATGCGGAGCTGTGACAGAGGTCGGTTGACAAAAGATGGCGCTGTATGGCTCTTCATTAGGCTGTGATAAAAACTGTGTACAAAGATTAGAAATCTAGATGTAACAAATTAGATCTTAAAGAAGCTTCTATTAATACAGATATTTATTTCTTTGTTTCTAAAACAAAACTGTAGTTCTTAGAGTTAACTTATATTCGGGAGCACATATTCGATATTTATTTATCTATATTCTATATAAAGAAAATGATAATAATATATTATTTGTTAACATTTAGAGAGACATCTTTCCTCTCCACTCACTTGATCTTACGATTTTTTCTATTTGAATTTAATCTGTGATTTGTATATAGAATTTTCGGTAATTTATTCTCATATAATGCCTTGTAAATTATTCTATTTATTTAACACCTGCTTACCGGTTTTATCTATTTATTTATATTTCACTTTTTTCACCATCCTCATGAAAATTGATTTACTTGGTACTGTTTTTTGGTTGTTTAACAGTAAAAGAGAATAAAACAACTAAAGATTTGCTGTGCAAGTCTGACACTTTAGGGATACACGGTGATGTATGTACGAATTTTGAAGTTTGACTTTTTTCAGTGTCTTCATGTTGAATATCTTATTAAGTTGGTTGTGTTTGCAGTGGATTTTGTCAACATTTTTTTGAGTGTGGAATTTTTTTCATTTTTGGTCTCTTATCCTCCGTCCACAAAATCATACATCCAATAAATTATGTATCTGTCATATTGTAAATTTTGAATTTACCGGATGGCAGTAAATTCAAAATCTACAACATGACATGTCGCTCACATTGAATGATTTCCGGAATCGGAGTATCGTTGGGCGCGGATCTATTTTTTTTTTTTTTTTACACCTAGGAATCCAAATGATATCTTATCGACATCCCTATAATTAGTGATTCAGTTGGATATCACAAATTTATTAATAATAGACTTAATTTTAGCAATGTAGCATAGGATTTAAGCCAGACTTTCTGTCTGTGCAACACCTTATCGACCGCCGTCCAAATTAAAGTGTGGTTAATTAACAAATAATTAGCGGTAGATTATATACTGTCATTAAAATTTGTTCGATTTCTTTTTAATGTGATGTCCGACCATATGATTCAGAATCTTTGTGCAAAGCATCTGAACATGGGTGACGTCACAGAAGAAAGCAAATCGAACGCTTCATTTTCATCACGTGGCATATCATGCATCACCAATCATCGCTAGATTGTGTACAATCTATGCCCTTATCGAAATCCGTCCAATTCCTCGATAAGTTATTTGATAAAACATGTATGTGTAGAGAAATGATTTTATGGAATGTTTTTTCTTCCTTTTATATTTTGAAATAAAATTATGAAAAATCTTAAATACACTTTTGTTTTGAATTAGAGTTGTGCAAGGGGCATAACAGTGTATATATCATGAACAAGCTGGTATGAAGACTTTCAAAAGATTTTGAGCCTATGTTGTATTTTTTTTCCTTCACTCGAAAACAAAAGAAAAGAACTTTCTGCATTGGGTAGATGCCCCCTTTTTTTTTTAATGAAGATCTCTCTCTGGTGTGAATTGATAACAAATGAAATTCAATAGACAGACCTGCAATATGTAGTAAAGATGGAATTTCGTCTTGGCAAATGGTTAAACGAATAATTACTGGGGGGGGGTGTTTATATTCTTCTTTGTTCATCGATTAATTATGCTGACTGAGTTTTCGTGACCTCTCACATGAAATTTGTCGTGCAATGGTCACCCAAATTACAATTCCGCATAAAAAAATCTAGCTTTGAGAATTAAAAACAATGAATATATTGACTTCCCTTCATCTCAGAAAGGCGTAATTAAGGATTAATATAATCGTTTTGGCTTTTGAGCATACATGTATATTCCACCACGTTTGACAAATGATTACATGTCTTTTTATATTTTAATGCTAACAAATCTAATGACGCCTAAAGAAAATTAATACCCCTGAATGATTAATCATTTATAAAGCATGTTCAGTGTTCAGGGCATATTTTCTTTTGTCCGAAATCGTCTAGTGGTCAGCCCATACATCCGCTTTGTATACATAGGGCGCCATTGTGGAGATGTAATTGAAGCCATGTGCGGAATGCGACATATACATGTTTATCAAATGATTTTCTAAATTAAAAACGCTGATCACGTACAAATAACATTACTGTTTTCTAATCACACGAAATCTTCGAAGAATTTAATAGCTTGTAACTGGAAGTAAAGGTTAATTAGTTTGCAATAAAAGTTGTACTTTTAGCTTAAGTTTCTTAACGACTCGACTTTAATCAAAAGTACTTGTATAAACTTTGGAGAAAGTAAACAAACTTGTTTCACAAATTTCCTTCAATTTAATAAGTAGGTATCCATCAAGTTTGCTTATATATCTGATTGAAGGCGACAATAATTTAGATTTGAATGACTAGATATGACTTATTGAACACCCTTTTAGAACAAAATATAATGCAGTCTGACAATTTAATTTTCACGAAGAAGACAAATTAATACATTTTGCACTTAGGATGTTTGTGAAGTGCAAATATCTACTTCTGCATGGTTAGGTACATGTAAGTAATGCATGTGTATAAAACGTGCAGCTTGAGTTTGGGAAATTTGAGATGAAGCAGCTAAGAAACGAAGGCATACATTTAATTTCTAGCAGAAAAGGGAATGGTTAATGACTTTTTTTTTTCAAAGGAGGAGCTTGGGTAAAAAAAATATGCATACAAGGATATTTTCATCATTGTAGTTCAAAGTAAAATGGAATAAAAATGTTTGATTTAAGATAATACTGAATAATGATTTTTAAGTCTCTAACTTTTTACAATGCGAGGAAAACTTTTTACCTTTTCGGCAAATACGAAAGGGCGAGGAAATCGAATTTAGATGAGAAAATACGGAGCTAAACAAGAAACCCAACATCTTTGATAGAATTTGGAGATTAAAATCAATTTATCGCTAATCAATTCAGCAAACAAATTAAACACAATGTAATTGCAATCCAAACAATTACATAAAGCATCCACCAGACAAAAATATCCGAATTTTCTCATGAAATACCAGCGTCGCTTTTAAGACGGTAAATATTTGATCTGCAGAAAGTGAGAAATGAAAATATTTCTTTCTGAAGTTTGTCAATAAACACAGGCCTTTGACTTTAAGATTACCGGGTGTTTGAAGTGAAAGGGCAGTGGCGATTTACTGGTCAACTGATTTGAAGTGTGAACACGTCCGCGAGATTGTGACGTAGGTGAGAGATTTCACGCGAGACCGTGAAGATGAATTATGCTAGAGACAATGTCTCCAATTTTCTGAGTCATTCTCCCAGAAATCCCTTAAATTCTTTGAAGAATGAGATCTAATTAAGCACTGTTTGTTTGTCTTTATCATGGAATCGATCAACTTTTTAAAGGAAAAAGTATAAATTCTTTGAAGAGTTTTCTCATTTTTTAAAGCAGCTTCTTTGACCATGAGCATCAGGATTTTTGTTTTCAATAGCATTTAATATTTTAAGCCATTGAGGCTATTTTACTTTATTTGGATTAAAAAAAAATACTTGTGGTTGGTCTTTCTCAGTTTACTGTTCTCTATTTCTCGATGAAGGTAAATTCCGCAAAATGAACACACATTTTGTGTATTTGTTAAAGTATAACAAAAAGAAGAAAAAAATCAGGCCACGCATTGAAAACTTTTGAATGGTTTGAGTCAAAACCCGATGTCAACGTTCCGAACAGGGGGCATGAAACTCTGAAATACAGGAAAGAAAAATGGTACCAAGTCACTTTAACCTTGTAGAAATAACGGTAAATGAGTTTAACAAACCCGCCATTATTCGCAAATATTACAATTATGAATGATTAGAATCAGCTAGGGGACAGTCATTGCCGCTTCAGGTTTTGTGTAAAAGTTTAAAATCGTTATGGATTGGAAATCCGATACCGAGATTTAGGAAAATATTCTTTTGAATGAAATGTAAATAAAAGTTATTGAGAAATTTCCGTGTACTTTTTTCTTCATTTCTACAAGAAAAGGGAAAATTGTTTTGTGTATTAAGTGCGTAAATGTGGTTAGGATTAACGTGAGAAATAAAATTTATAAAATTTAAACATAATGCCTCCCTCTCCCAGTTTTTAATAGAGGATACATTTTAGGTGTAAACAAAACGACCGAATATAGGAAGAAGCATGACATGTTTTTCATGAAATGTTTTTAGTGTGTTGGACAGGATCTAGAAGTAAATTTTATGTTGTTATGCAAATTTTTTTTGGTTAAGTCCTATCGTCTTTTTCTTCATGATAAAATTTACATAGAAAGTTGTTATTTTTAAGGCTTCTTCAGTTCCTCTTAAAAAGAACTTCTATGCTTAGGTTAAAACAAGTGTCTATACCTATTATTTACTCCATCTCAAATACTACTTCTCCTTGAAGATTTGTATATTCTTTAACATTTTCCCCGATAACAGATAATGGGGGGAGGGGGCATTTAAAAAAATAAGAGAGTTTACAAATGATTTAACAAAATAAACAAATAAAAATAAATCTTTAAAAAAAACAACTTTTTGGATAATATTTAAAGAAAAAAACCAAGGTCTTTGGCATAATTTAATGTTTAGGCCCAGATTTTTTTAACACTTGATGTAAATTTGTTTTATATTGTCCATCTTTCTTAGCTCCGTGCTCACGCATACTAATTTTTTTTTTTTCGTAGTATTTATTTATATGACTTGCTCGATATCAAAAATTCCTCAACGCGGAATTGAGAGCAATTTTTAACATTAAAAAGTCCTCTTTTACTCAATCTTATATAAATTTTACGATTTCATCCTCTCGTGCTATATTCAAATTTGATAGAAAAAACCGGTAGACTGTTCAATAGAAACTACCAGACGAAAATTTATGAAATTGAACCAGAGATCAAACACAGTTTTATAGTCGTTTAATTGCAGACTCAACATATTGTCGACAAAAGGAAAAAGATTTCTTTTCATTCCAAACCCGATCATTAATATTTGATCCCGGATTTTTAATTTCTTTAATACAATATACTCAAAAAATTAACTTTGAATACCTACTCAAGTCTAAAGAGGTCGCTTAATGTCTGTGAAAACTACTTTCCCACCATAACTGCGAAGACCTTGCGTATAGACTCGAGACTTTTAAAGTTCACAAATGTATGACGTTGGAAAACCTAATACATTGACGCTATGAATATTTTAATTTCGGGTATGTATTTACCTTGAATCAATATACCGATTGCGAGGATGACCTTGCTCT